TTTAACTTATAATTGACTGCTGTATATCGCTCATGTCAAAAATAAATTTATCGATGTGCGATTATTATAAAAGTTTAGACCATAGCGATTTAGCATCCAAAACATTAGTTAGGCGCAGAGCGCTCTGCTTCGCAGATGAAGTTCGAAAACAAATTGGGGATAAACTCTCCAACGACACTCTACGTAAAAGAACTGAAAAGGCAAGGAAAATATTTGCTCTCTTTAACAGCAGTTTTAAAGAGAAAGATGCGAATGGTAAACTGCAATACGAAAAAACTAAAGTTTGACATAAAATCTCAAATTTTGAAAATGTACAATAGTGGCCGATGAACACGAGAACGTTAAAATTTCGTTGTCAAAAATTTCTAATAAACAAGTGTTTATTTATCGCGCTTATAACGTTCAATTTGTTTTACCTATCAAGACATACGGGGTCTTTAAGCGTTTACACATATTCGGTCAAATACTAAAAACAACTCGGAAATTTAGCCAGCATACTAATACTTGTTATGATGTAACCGAAAACGTTCTAGTCATTATTTAACAAAACAAATATGTACCCTTTCCCAGCATTATTACCTGATTTATTATCCTAATATCAACATCGACTTTTCGGTTATTTCCGTGATTGCTTTTAACAAGAAATTTGGTTCAAGCGGAACTCTCTATATTTCCAATATGGCCTGGTAAGCCTTCAGATACTTTATTAAGCTAAATGTGCAATCAAGTGATTCAAACAATTCCCGGCGAGAGGGAACTTTCTATTACGAAAGATACTATCTTATTGCTAAAGTAAAAAGTTACAACGAGACAATACCCAATTTAACACGAGGGTTATTCACTGAACAAAAAAAAACGCCGTGTCTTCCCCATACTCAGATTTTTTCGATCCCAGCTTATGCACAATGTAAACACGTCCGATGGGTATTAGATTATTAGCGCCCGCGTGTTGAGGTTGCAAAGTAGATGGCACGTGGAATGCGTTTGGAATGACACCGTTAGCAAACATGGTGTCTCGAACGAGATACAGCTCTTGAACGTCTCTGAAATGGAAAATACAGCGACTGTTTTCATCTCTGCGTCCCCTAGTGAGATTATAGGTAGCGATCCGATCCATTACTGCATTATAAGCTGCCCATCCGTGAGCCGCGATCCACGCTTCGTTTGGCTTAATAACTAACAGAGGGTCATATTCGTCAGCGTTTGAAACCTGTTTCGTATATTTCTTAACGTCAGCGCTTGGTGCATCCGGAAAGAGCTCTTTGATTACTTCTTTGATGGTCGGGAATAGTTCAAGTTCTGCAATAGAATAGTAGAGATAATTAGAATGTCATCCAAGTATTCGTCCAAGTATTGGGTGCTTTCAAATAGATCTTTACCGTCGCTTTCTTTCGTTTTAAACATTTTTATTGAAAAGAGAGAAAAGGTGATTCGAACTTGTTTACTATTATTTCTATTCATTTTATATAAGTTTTGTCGGGTCTTAAATTCTCGATTCTGTCATTGATACACTCGAATATTTGCATGATTGTACAACTCCTGTCACAAGTTCCTATCATGAGTACAACCACAAGGATGCTTCGTCATAATTAACAGATACACAGATATCACAGCCTCAATCTTGCCCTTGTTTCTAATAATAGCACATTAATATTATTTATGTAATATTGAATACTTCTAGTAAGATTATTATTGGACAATTGGAAAAGTTCCGAAGTGTAAACAAGAGCTATAATTACACTTGATAATGGAGTCTACACACAGTTGTCAGTTCGAGAAATATCCGGGAAGCCAAAAAAATCGAATCGAACCAAACGAAAAATCGGGGGGGGGGGCTTTCACATTCCTGCGCAAGCATGCCCACAGCAGCCGTGTTATTGCGGTTTTCACAGATACAACATCACGGATCTCAAATTCCTCGCCAGTTAAGGATAATAATAAGGACATATCATTCCGCGTGACCCAACAAGGCTTGGAACATTTCCCTCAGTTCCATTTGCTCGATGTAACATCGCGTATCCAGATGTGACGACGCAAACCCGAATTTCTGCACAGCCCCGATGGGGATACAAGGATTCTGGGATGTGTATTTTCTTGCGGGGATTGGAAATAAACATACCAGTTCATTGAAAAAGGATATTGCGATGTTTCTAAATCATTCAGGTACGTCTGATCAAGCAATTGATACCTTATCTAACATGCCTACGTCGAGGGAAATCGACGTGAGAAAAATATTATATCTTCTATTCACAGAGATAATATGATACAGTTGCACACATGACTACAGTCCTTGCGATCCCAATACCTACAACAACTGCGATTCCATACCGATCTAGAGGTCAGAAAATATTATGAACTTGTGTTTCTTTTGACTAATTCTATAAGTTTATGGATTGTTGTTGTTGTTGTTGTTGTTGTTGTTGTTGTTGTTGTTGTTGGTTGTCATATATTCCATACTATTTAGTTGGATATATTGTATAACTGGTTCTCGTCCATGTCGAAGTCCCCGTAATCCATATTTTGCTTCTTGGTTGGACGTGCTAGTAAGCGCGTTTGGGAGGTTAATATAAAATACTAATGGAGATATCGTTAGCCTATGACAATATTATAATCGTGTGAGTTACTTGTATTCCGTTGGAACAAGATTAACGCTCGACGCTAAGCGAAGAGTTACTATCTTTAGTACTGGCTAAGAAAGACATAATAGAATGGATATGACGCTAAGCGTATTATTAGCATTCTAGTCGTTGGGTTATGCTTCCCAGAATCTTAGTAGGAATACGGTGCGGGAATATTCGTCTAGACATGTAGTTTTCGTGGCAAGTCATAATCACTTGGCTACACGAGAGTAATTTGTATAATCGTTAACTACTACACAGTGCCCATAATGAGGCGATACTGAGCAGAACCCTCGGTTATAGCCCATCGCGTTCACAGTCGTATAATTGACGTATGTGTGAATTGATCTACTTTCTTATACGAGTACGACATACGTTTCTTAATACGTTTCTTAATATGCAGTCGTATAGAAGTATTGACGAAAACTATAAAGTCACGAGACACTTTGCAATTAAGGTATGAATATTTCGGGCTCATTTGCAAAAAAGCGACTTCAGAGCTTGCATCACAGAATGAACAACTCGGCGAGGTTTTACTAAGGTAGATGGGGGATGTTCAAGTAGGTTGCTCTGGGTATTTTCCCAGTTGAAGATTTCGAAAACCCCTTGTTTTTAAGTTCTTTCATAACGCTTAGCATAACAAAAATAATTTATGGTTATTTTGGATAGAGAAATTGTTCGGCAGGCGGCAGTTATGCTCGTACGATCAGAAATTAATTAATTTCGATGATTGGAATGAATGAAACCCGGATAGGTGTTGGTCTCAGTATAGATAGTTTAGAAAAGCAAAAACTTCAGAGGCGAGGCATTAATATAGAACTATCGAATAGCAAATCTGCTACGAGTCGAATCATGTATTTTATTTCTATATCAATAAAAAATCCGAGCCTTTCTTCGACAAATAGGTTTCAGAAAAAGAACCCACCAAATTCTTGGGAAGGGTCTTGAAAAATTACGCAACTTTTCTTCTGGCTTCGTATACATAATAACGTATGCTTTACTTGTATAAAACAATGTTAAATGCTGAAACTCTTGGCTGAGATTAGGAATGATAATGTTACCGATTTTACATAATATTGCACGTGATATAGTGCACAAATTTAATAAATATTAATACAAATATTAATATAAATATTTTCTGGAGCTTCCGACCGACAATAATTTTTGATTAAAATTATTTTCTCATAGTTATAATCCATAAACTTAATGTCAAAATTTGCTACAAACATTACCTTGGTATGGCGTTGATAAAAAGTTGGTTGTCTTTGTGTGATCTTAAGTCATATTCTTCGTAGACTTTCTGTGGCTGTTACGAGAAAATATACCAGATAATTCTTTAATGGGAGTAAGCCGCTCTTTGAATTAGTGTAATTATGTAGATGATGAATTGTGTATATTTTACTACTAATAATGGCAATGAATGAATACACTATTAAACACATGATTAGTAAGTACCGTAAATTGTGCCTTTAATAGTGTGTAGCATGGTGCGTTGTGAGAATTTCTACTCATAAAACGGAAAGACAGTTGGAAATTGAAAATTGTCTAGTATTTTAAGCCAATAACAAGGTGGGACGCCAATATATAATAGAAGACTGATAACATCACGAATATAATTCGGAGTCTCGCTAGTATGTTTCCATTGCTCGTCTCTGACAACGAATTATGATCTCAAGTCATAATAATAAAGCAAGCCAATTCCGTCATCATAGAGGAGCAGTGTCATGCTAGTATATCAAGAGAGCAATAATATAAGACATTTGAGAATTAGCTTCAACAGAATGGTTTACCAACACATTTTTTAACTCGAAATATTCCCAATTGCGTTTTTAATGCTTATGTTACTATATGCAAACCTGCATTGCTAAAGTAGAGCAATTCATAATAGCCACGAACGGAGGGAACATCGATTTAATAGACTTTGTCAATCTCAAATTTAGTCACTCCGGATTGTTAACTGTTTAAATAACATACTATTAGCACTCGAAGCATTGATTATAGATCGACTGCTGATGCAAAGTGTGTACATCAATACTAAATTTATACCGCTCAATAACAGATTTATTGTATTTATTGTCAAGTAATGCGTGACAGCGTTTGTAACGATAAACTTATTATATCAAAACACCAACTTACCAAATCCAGTCTAGTGTATGTTTATGCAAAAAATAATAATAAATTTTTATATCGTTTTGAGTGTTCGTCATAACGCACTATTACGTCTGAATTGCTATAGTAGGCATTGTGTCCATACTGACTATAGTCATGTCTGCTGAACGTTCGTACCTTAATGGATGGGTGACACAATGGTGCCTACTCGCATCGAGAAGAGAACTTTTTAGTGTTGAGATAAATTTACTAGTCTAGTATGTGGATATCACCTTGAGAACAAATTAAACAAATGTCGCGATGGAACTAAATTAATAAAATTCCTACATGAGCAGGGCCTGATAAAGGTTTCTCTACGAATGACTCAGCGTCTTGTGATTCTACCAGTAAAACTAGTCAGAACTCGGTTCACAAGACTTTTCTTGCAGGTCTTGAACATGATAATATGGGTTTAAATTTTGTAAGCTATGCTAATACGCCAATTAAAGCCCTCACATTTGAATATATCACATTACGCTTTCAATATTTCGGAAGGGGAGTATCTGACGAGAGCCAATTTACGGCAAACATAGTACTAAATTAGCAGAAAACGAAGGAATTTACGGTAGAAATACTGTAGAGTCGCTCATTCACAGTACTTGTTCGAATAAATAACTTTAGAAATAGCTTGACCATCAAAAGTCATGGGCAAAGAATAATAATGTCTTTTATCGACTCATTAAGCAACAAACGAAAATACAAGTCTGCTCTGCGAAATCCATTCATGTTTTGCGATTAAACAAAATAGCCCCTGAAAATGATAAAAGAACGATGTGCTATTTATCACATGGTTTCACGTGATGATCAACTTGCGTTTGTTATAAGCACATGTATAAAAGGCATTTGTGCAACTCCAACAAGTTTGCCTTCTTGCTACAGCAATCTTAATTATTAGTAACCAGCCGCCACACTTGCATAATGATGTACTTTTAAACGTATCGCATCGACGGATTTTCTTTACACTCCCGATTTGCACTCTGCATACAACACACTTTCGGCAGATTCCGTAGAGCTTTGTTCGGTCTATGGGATCACGGGATATGCGTAATCCCTAACAACGTTTCATCGAGTTTCATTGTGAGTAATTGGTCATTGTTAACGTATATTTGTCGCTAACGATTTTAGTAATCCCAACGATTACACATACACTCTGATTGCCCCAAACATACACCATTTTTATCTTATCTTCAGGTCATACAAAGACCAAAGACGGCGTTGTTCATATGGATTCTACTTAGGCTTGCGTCATCATTCCATTTGCATAACGAGATCATGCTCGCTTCCCCCCTTTTCTTGTTTCAACCGACGATGGCTGAAGAAGTTGCTATATTGAAAAAAAGAGATTGATCCTGGGAAATAAACCAGACATCTGGTGATAGGGTCGTCGAATAACCGCAAAAGAATTTACTTAGCGGGAAGTATTCGCATAGAATGCATGTACGGTTCTCTCCGCTTTTAAAAGTGTGGAGGCTTGAGAGGTTGTTCGATGGTGGGGGGAGAGATGGAAAGGGAGCTCGGCGTATTGGGAATGTCCACAAGTGTACTTTATACCGAAACCAAGAATAAATGCCATCATCATGATAACGAAAATCGGCAAGAATGTTGCTCTTTTTATTTTCTTTCTTTCGTATTGATAACCCGCCCGTACACTGTTTATTTATTAGGTTTGATTATCTAGCGCCGACGGATTTTATTCATTCCGTGTTTTTGCATCTAATTCTTACTTTTCGCCATTACTGTGTGTTGAGCAGTAAACAGTAAACAGTGCGTTGAATGGGAATTTAAACTCCCTGTTGAAATTGTATGCTTTTTTTTATGCTGCATCCAAATCAAGATCGAAAGGTACATGGTCTGTCGAATGAATTGACCAAAACACTGCAGATGATATACACCATTAGTATAGAGTATCACAGAGACAAAAAAAAGCCCTGTGTCATTCACCCCTGGCACTATTCCTTTTCTCAAATGTGGGTGCTGCAGATTCAAAAAGGCCTGTCTACGCCTTCGGTCACGCTCCAGAAACTTTAGAAATTACTTAACTCTTTCTTAGACCTCTCGTTCCCAAAATAATAATACTCTTCGAGAGTGGTTGCCATATACTAATATATCAACCTCTTTTCCAAACTATCCCCTTGCCCCTTTTGTCATATCACATTCTCCCCCCCCCCCCCGCTAACTTCTTTTATATAGATAGAATAGTAAATAACTGATAGCACTTATTGAAAAAAAAAAAAGACACCGCGCAGTCATTCATATATTATATCACTATCATGGAAGGCACACTTCACACACTCGACGACACAATGCACGACACGATGTCAGATGCACACTTAGTAGACAATCATATAATGGACGGTACTGAACCCATAGTCGAAGAGGAAGTACTATCTGTAGATGTGGAGTTAGCGAAACAGAAGGAAATATTTAAAGATTTTTCAACTGAATTTCAGAGGTTACAACTTAGCCCTGGCGGCCCTCTCGGAGAATACTTCGAAGCAGTCCAAGCTCTTGCACAGTGGCTGATACGACAGTCTTCCCGTTTCCCAGACTTTCCCCTAACAGACTCAAAACCCGACCAAGATGCTCTTTCCTCTATTAACGACATATTAGCAAGATTACACGCAGAAATAATAACACAAAAATCAGAGCATGCTAAAGTAGTAGAGCTGGGCGAGCAGCTATTATCGTCTACGAACACTTCAGAAGAACAACAAACAATACAAAATATCCAATATACAATAGAACAACTATGGTTGTCCTTCACTGAAATAATAAAGACAAGTAACGTTAAATTGCGAGAGTTCCATTGGGTGGCTGACATACAAAAAAAACTAGACGATGTAATATCACAGGTCAAAGAGGTCGAAGCGACATTAGACGGCGTTGAGGAAAGCAGGCGCAGAACACACGATGACCCTGCTAACGGCCAACTAAGTGACGTCATTGTCACAGGTTTTATCTCAACATCCCAACTAGACGAATGGTATACCAGGGTTGTAGAAATTGAGGAACTGCTTCATAATGTTGACGAGAAAATCAATGACATCCATCAGCTCCAAGTCCAACATAGGCAATACAGAATACCCACAGAGCTCAAACAAAATATTGACAATACCATCAGCACAAGCGTTAATTCACTTAAAAGCAAAATAGCAGAGATCAAGACTGCTATAGAATACGAGCGGAAAATATGTCGCTGGTTTGATGAAGCAAAAGAGATAGAGAAATGGATAGCCGATACTCAGAGTAGGACAAATCAATTAGAGGTTCCCGACTTTATCAATAAACAAGAATGGACAGAAGAAGAACAAAATCTAGAAGTAATAGTAGACGAAAGACGAAAGATGATTGACGCAATTACCGCAGACGTTGAACAATTCAAACAAGATAGGATCGATTTATTAAATAGTAAAGCTGATGATATTATTGCTGATACAAAAGATTCATCTAATCAAGACGATCAAGCGGTTATAGATTTGATAACGAAGCAACGCAAGAATCTGGACGATAAGCTTGCCAAACTAACAGATTACATAACATTGATTCTATCACAAACAACTGTCGAACGATATACGGGACTTCTCAAGAATCTCAATGACTTGCAGAAAATGCGGCTACACATGCAATCAGTCCGAAAACTCATTGCCCAACAAAACGATGCTGAACTAGTGACCGGTGATGTAAAGGAAGTCGAGGTAGAGATAACAAACTACCAACCAGAGCTGCCAACCGACGACTCTGCTCTATCAAAGGCTGTACGACAACGCCATTCAAAACTGTTAATTACCATACAAAACATCCGCGTAGCTGTGGAAGAGAACAAACTTCAGATGGCCGCCTATCTCAGTCCCTCAAGTCCGAGCTCCCCAACTTCGGCTGGGTCGGACTTTGACAGGCTAAGCTCTGAAATTCAGGAACGACTAGAATCGTTTAGTATACGACTTGTCCCCCCACCCGTGTACATGCTCGAAACAGATTCAGAAAACGATGAACCAGAACGAGTACATGGACTTACGTGCAATGATGATCATGTCGAAGAGCTCACGGAACGGTATGGTTCGATAGAATCGGAACTAGTTTCATTTGAGAGAAGCATTTGGGTCGAATTCTGGCTTAACAGTGAAAGAGCAAAGAGAGTTCGTGGTACCGAGGTCAAAGAACGGATCAATGAACTAGAGACAAAGTTTGCCGAGGTCAAAGGTTTTATGGAACTTCGCAAGTCAGATCTCGTTCGTATAAAAGAAGGCCGAGAATTTGCGAAAAAAGCTCACGCGATCCAAGATCAATTCGACATTGTAAAGGGTAAAATGAGACGCGGTGACGTTGAAACCACAACCGATGCTTCAATCCAAGAACTCGACAACCACATGAGCGAAGCCCAAACTCTTCTCGATGGACTTTGTATAGCTCACACTCCAATGATGGCTGAAGATTTCGATGACAGCAGCTTCAGAGAATCTTTCGAAAAAATTATTTCTGAACAACAACTTGTCCAGGACTGGATTGAAGAAGTACGCATCTGGTTCAGAGAGGCTGAGCGTATTCGTATCTGGATCGAACAACGTATAGACGTTTTGGAAAACGTTCCCCAGGTAGATGTCTATCAGGAAGGTCCAGCGCCAGTGACTGAAGAACAAGTCAATACATGGCAGAAAGAGTATGAAGAATTGGAACATGACGTGGAAAAGTTTGATGCAGAAGATATGTCTCGACTTCGCGATCATGTTAAAAACATCATGAGCAGTGACAAAAACACTTCCAACACAATGTCGCCGGCCGACACAATGACGATATCTATAACGTTAAAAACCCTCGCTTTCTTAGATCAACTTTTCAACATGTTAAAACGACGTGCTAACGAACTAGACTGTTTGGCGTTGCGTGTTCAGTGGGAGCAAGAATATGAGGAAGCCATGAAACAGTGGGAAGGTTTCATCACAGAGATTAACGACTTTATAAAACAACGCAGCCGATGGAAAGCTCCTACTAGTACGCGAGCAGACGGTTTTTATGAAGCCATTTTGCAACCATCTTACAAAGAAAACAGCGCAGAAGCTCAGACTTTTGGAACAAGGATTAGCAAGTTTAAAGATTCGGTTATTGCAGAAGCTGGACGCGTTTTTGACGAGTTAGTCGACGTATCGGCCACAGAGCTTCCAGAACATTTATTAGTACGGCAAGAGAATTTGGAAGACCGGGATTACGAATATTTGACGCTGTATCATACTTTTGCAAAGAATATCGTTGCTCAAAAGAAAAAGGTCCTCGATTACGTTTCTGACGCAGAGGCTGCTCACCTTGAAGGCTGTCGTTTGCGCGATGACTTGATAAAAGAAGAATCTAATCCCCGCGCATCAATGGAAAACAAATATGTAGCACGAGTAAAAGCCCTTAATGACAAAATCAACAACGCATGGCAAACCAAAGGCTCAACGGTCATTTACCCAACACATCCTCGTCATGAAGAATCCGAAAATGCAGAGGTTCAAGAAGGAGTCGAGAAATATTACAAGTGCCTGCAAGGTCTCACCAGCGAAGTTGAAGAAGCCCTAAAAGCTTATCAGTGCGCTCTCAGGCTCTTTAAAACCGCTGAAGAATGTAAGAAGGAAGCTGCAAGGTTGGAGAAATGGATTGCAGATAAGCACAAGTTCCTTAACAAGCGCAAGAGTGACATGCTTGCAAAGAAAACATTTACCAAGGAAGATGTGGAAAAGTTCTTTGCCGATAACACTGAATTGACGTCAAATGTAGCTGATTTTGAATCTAAAGATCTTCGTGATTTGCTTGAAAAGGTCGCTGCTCTTGTTGCCGAGGTCAGGACTATTGGAACAAAGTGCGTTAACACCGACGAATTAGAGAATATGATGCACACTCTCGAAGGCCGTCTCGCTGGTTTACACGAACATATCGAAACTGACGCAGAGGTATTGAGAAAGAAAATGGTAGAATCTTACATGAACCAAGCAACAGAAATTACATCTTGGATTGAGCCTCGGCTACAAACTTTGCTTAGCATAGCAAATGATGACACGCTTGGCGAGCAGACCGAGAAGCGCTTGCGTGAATTGATTAGTGAAGTGGATCGTATCGAAACTGCTCGTCAAGGGTATCGTACGTTTGAATTGGGAAAGAGCCTTTCTGTAGGATTGGTGCAAGAAATGACGCCACTAGAGCGCAAAGTCGAAGGCGAAAGCGAAAGCGATGACGTAGATGTTGATGTTGTTAAAGTTGACGTAGAAGCTGTTACCGCACGACAGAAGGAACTCGATGATCTTTGGGAAGCATTGAAAAACGCCGTTCCAGAAGCTCGCCAAGTCCTAGAACAAGCACTTCTCTTTGTCGATGTTAAAGAAAAAGCCAACGAAATACTTAAAAAGATTGCTGATTTGGGCAAGGTGATTGAGAACACAGATGTCAAAGATATGGATCACGCTACAACAAGAGACTGGCACATTAAAATAAAGGATATCGAGGAGATTGAATTTTTCCGATTAGTCAGACTTTATACTAATGTTATTGAAAGTCTCCGAGAAAAACCAACAAAAATAACTGATAAAGAATCGAGTGTGCTCAAAAGTAAATTAGATCAAATATCGGAAGCCATTCTCGGGATCAAGAAACTTATTGGCAAAAAGTCCGACGACTTTGAAGCTTATCAATCATCACAAGTTGCCTACGCTCATAAAGTACGCATTGATGACCTACAGCGATGGATTGAACAGACTATAACGAACTTTGCAGATGCCACACAATATGGTCTAATGGTAGGCAAAAATGAAGATCAAAACAACAACAATTTCCAGTCGTTATCTCTTTTATTTGAAGAGTTTACTAACGAACTGCCGGAACGTATGAACGAATTGGAAAGTATCAAGGCTGAATTTCAAGACATTTCAGCACGAGGAGATATTCGCGAACTACAAGACATTATTAAATGGCACGATCAGCTCGGTACTTCTTGGGATAGATTAGAACTAGCTACTTCAGAAATGAAAGGACTTGTTGACAAAGTCAAGAGTTGGTATGATTGTCACGGGAGCATCTACCGTGTTGAAACTGACATTGTTAATGGGTTACGGCAGCGCATTGATAAGCTTGGAAGTACAGGATACGATGAATTAGCTGCAGAAGTCAATGAATTAGATGACAAGATAAAAGAAGGGTATTCGAGACTCGAGAAAGCTAAAGTTGCCTCTCATAAAATTCCAGAGAAGCCAGGAGAACCACTCGACGCGCAGAACAAACTTAATTTCAAAGATCATCATGACGATATGACAAAACGATTAGATGCATTATCAGCTGCACTCAAGGTTGCATTAACAGCAGCGCATAATGCATCCGCTCTCGCTGCTTTCCATGCAGAGGCAGACCGTATCATATCTGATTGCTTAGAAGGAACAGCTATTGTAAAAACCCGTCACGATGATTTAGAAATTAGTGGATATTATGCTCTTGAAGTCAATGCTCTCGAAAAAGTCCTCCGAGGTTCGATTGACGGATACACAGAAAGTGAACAAAAGTTACGTGGCCTTGATGATCAAGTAAATGGAAGTTTCAAGACGGAGGCTGATTCATTGATAGAACAAAATCCTACCATCAACAAAGAACGTATATTGAGTATCTATAATAGAGTAAGCGATACTTTGAAAGGATTTTCGGATGCAGTTGCACTTGAGCGACGAGAGCTTGAGCTTGTACGTAGGCTATATGCACATGCTAAAGCTGCTCGGGATATCAAGGCATGGATACAGGGATGTAAACGTGCTGTACTCGACATTCAGGTTGATGTTACCGATCAGGAACTAGAAATTGCAGACCTTGAAGAAAAAGTAGCCCGATTCCAACCAACAGTTGATACATTCGTAGAAATGGCACGAAATGCCTTAGTACCAGAAGCCGATAGTGCTGATATTGATGTACCGCAACCAGAAGAATCAAATCCCAAGATCAAAGATGCCGTACAACAGCGAACTGACCGTGTATTAGACGACTGGAATGCTCTCAAAGATTTATTAACGACAGTAAGAAAGAGTCTCAACGCTTCCAGAGAGAACCAAGAAGTCAGTCGAGCCATCAAAGATATTCTCATGGCCATTGGCCAAGTCAAGGAACGAGTACTGAACATTGAATCATATATCACAGGCGAAACCGTAATCCGCCTGCCCACAAAAGAAGACATTGATAATGGTGAGCGGGAGCTTGATGAAATCCAGGCTGAGATTGACCACATTCTTCAGCCTAGGATTGAAGCTTTGGACGAGATGCTCAGCAACCTCACAGAAAATGCGACCGGCTATTTGCAACAGCGCGCTGGTATTGCCGAAGCTTTGACGAACCTCGCCAATATTATCGACAGCAAACGTAATCAACTCCGAGAAGCGAATCGTCTATCAATATTTGGCACCAAGGCTGACGAAATGGAAGCTATGATAAGCTCGTTATTAGAAGTAATCGACGCGGCATCCACAGCAACAGATAACAATCTTGCAGCACTACCCAAAACTGAGCTTCAGACTAGACTTATTGAGCTAGAGACCAAGTATCAATACTACGAACCAAAGATATCTCAAGAATTGGAGAACATTCGAATCATGGCCGAGGCAATTAAAGACGACTGGCGAGTAGAAGAACGACTCGGCACCCTCACTGAACAGTGGGCAGAGCTGAAGGCATTAGCAAACACAAAGAAAGATGAGTTGAAGCGTTTGCTTTCCGGTCAGAAGCGTGCAGCACAACCATCCACCAGACAGCGGCGAGCGGCATCAAATCCTTCTTCAGGTACGGCACCATCAAATTCGCCTGTGCGTACAGTAACAACTCGTCCTTCATCAAGGTTAACACCAAGATCATCAACTTCTTCATTACGAACAGCACGATCGCCCTCGCCGGCGTCTAGCCGTCTTACCAAAAGAAGTGTTGTGTCACCCAACGGATCTCCGTCAAGACACAATGTTAACTATCGATCAAGATTGGCTAGTCCGTCGAGTACTCCGAGACAGACGCCGAGCCCGACACCTGGCGCTCCTGGAACTCCACGAAGACCTCCGATCAGACTATTGCCGCATTCCATTAACAATTACGTACCTGATCCTAATGATCAGTTGGATGTTGAGGTTGCAAGGATCGTTAACGCTTGTCCCGTCAAGATTAAAGTCTCTATGGTTGAAAGAGAATCTGGAAAATATATGTTTGGTGAAGTGGAGCCTAAACTGTGTTACTGTCGTATTTTGAGAAGTCGTATGGTCATGGTCAGAGTTGGTGGTGGCTGGGCTGAACTATCAAAGTAAATATACAAAGATATCTTTTTTTCTTCTTCTGTCTGTTCCGTCTGTTTAGTTAACAAATACTAAATACTATTTTTTTTTTCACCTTATCCCATATAAACAATTTCGCAATTATCCCCACAAAATTTTATTTAAAGATTCCTTGTCGGTAAGTACATGATTCTTTTTCTTTTTCCAATCATTATGACCACGAAACGTCAACAAAGATTCTTCAAAAGAAAAAAAAAAGCGATGATTTTTTCTCTCATTTTCAACCCTGCGTTTATCATATTATAACCTATAGATAACAATGATGCCACTCTCCAATTCATTCTGCCAAAACAGAACACGCTAATCTGGAACAAAAGTACATCCCCAAAGCCCGGTCTTTTGTCGGACCTAACGAAATCGAACCTAGTAGTAAAGCCGCTGATGGTGCCCGTTTTCATGAGGCGTACATCAGCCTTGAGCCGACGGGACCAAGACTCAGAGAAGGAGAAACGAGTTCTAGTCCCGTGGCGTTGAAAAGCTCGATCGCTAAAAGAAATGTGAGTAGTTTAGATAAGTATTCGAAACGTTTTGGGCGACCGAGCGGGAGTGGGAGCGGGTATAAGAGAGTAGATTGATTTATACAGATTGATTTGGGAATTTGGGTTTTTCTTCTGAGGATTTGTCTGGGTGATGACAAGAAAAAAAGAACATTCAGGGCATTGAGTCTGTTTTGTCTGCGTTCGTCTTATTTTCATTATTTTATTTCATTATTTCATCATTTCATTATTTATTTTTATTTTTTTTTATTTTTTCGTTTTCTTTATGGTCACTTTGCTGTTTCTCTACAATTTTATGAGAACAAAAAAAAAGGCACTCTCCCTATATATTTATATGTTATTTATGTAATATGTATCTATTACTAAAAATATAAAAGAACACACTGAGCTATTAGACACCTTTATAAAAATTATTTATGAATCAGAAATTAACATTTCATAAAAAAATTCTCTCTTCCCCCCAAAATTATTATTACAATCTTCAACCCATTCATTTTTCACAGAACCGTGAACTTTGCATATGGGCAATAGGGTTAGCGATACTGGTTTATTTCCTGATCGCATTGAAGCAGCCATCGGGCGCATTCGACAGTTGTCAACTCAAGAATACACAGTTCTTGATTTGTACCTAGCCACCGGAGAACATTTTATAAAGTAAAATCATACGTTATGGACTCTCTTTTTCTTCTAATTTTGCCCATTATTTTATAAATTCATTTGTACCTATCTCTTTAGGATTTTCTTAGATCTTTTATACAGTTTCTTTCTCTTTTTTTCTTTTCTTTCTCTTTTCTCTTGGGGATCTATGGGGGAAGGTGGGGAAGAGTATGGTTGGGAGAGAAATAGCAGAATTGTAAGTTTCCAATAATTTCTGTAATTAAATTTAGAAATGTATATCGTGATCAATTGTGATAGTGTTAGTTTGGAGAGAGCGCTTGTCGAAATTTCCACGAGTGATCGCGTTGTGTGTGAGTTTGGTCATATTTTTATCTTTATTGCCCATCATATTATCACAAGTCTCAATAGCTGGGCAAAGCAGCCACGAACAAGACAATTTAAGCAAGGACAGGAATGCTTTATAGCAGGTCTATTATAATCTCTAAAAACTCTATATTTAGAAAAAAGATCAAGTAAAACCAAAGTGAGTGTGGTCAAAGGATATGTCCATTGTCATTCACGTGGTGCTTGTAAGAGACTATAGAGTTACCATCACTGTAATTGATTGGAAGACACTCTTTGAATACGTTGTCTTGCAAGCATCGAATAAACCGAACCTGAGATGTTGAGCTAGTCAATTGACAAGTGACAAGCTATCTACCTGTACTTGGCAAGTTCATTAGGTACCTAGGTTCATTCTACTTCACATTCCATCAATTACGTAATAATATCAATAATCCCCTTACAATCCCCTCATCACCGTTCCTTGCCATATTAGGAAAGTGCGCTCATATCTTACCAACAGTGGTTAATTTTTTATTGCCCAAATTTCGCGCTTTTCCCCTAACCCTATCATCATTATCATTATTCGTATGTCGACCCGCGCGCAGCAAAGTTTACGAAGGAATTATTAGGAACAAACAACACCGTCTTACAACACACCACCTGTCGAATTAATTGATTTTTCTCTCTTTTTAACGATTTCTCTTTCGAATCAAAATGTTTGCAAGCTGGACTGCTTGGTTTGCGCCGAAAGTTGATCAGCAAGCACGCGATCTCTGGGGTAAAGTACAAGTCTCTTTTTTTCCTTCCCGAAACTAAGCTACACATACTTTTTTTACTTCAACTTGTCTTAATTTCTGACATTATTCGCTGCCATTTCTTTTTCTGTTATTACGTCTCGCAGTCTACCATGGTGGCAAACGCAACATTCGCCCGTCGTGTTGCGATTTATTCTTTAGCAACGATAAAAACGAACCTGAAACGAGACAGTAAGTAATATGCGCATTTTTTCATGGGCTGTAAGTGTTAATTAACCAACTATATCCGTCTTTGCCTTTGTAGACTATTGCAGCAAAAGACTGTTGTTATATACCACCCAAGTTGGATAAAAGATTGTCACAACAGAGGCCGTCCAGTGCATTTAGGACCTTTTGTTCTGCCGGACTTTGACTTTCGTGAGTTATCAAAATTTATTTACGTTTACATTGTTACATTTATTCCCGTAATATCAATTTTGGTCGCTTGCTTTCCTTTTTTTTTTTTTTTCTAACGTTTCTTTCTTTATTCTCTTTTCATCTGTTCGATACTTTACCTTTCCTCTGTAGCTATACGACGTCGAATTCAATCGACTGCTTCCTTGCCTAGTTCTCCCCATTCACCCATTCTAACATCGACACACAGTTCGCCTACCCCTGCTCCTACCTACGCTCGAACTCAGACCAATTCAACCAGATACAGTCTGCCGATAAATGTGACCTTTGAGCGATCGTCTTCACTAGGTTACGTTGATGACTTGGATCCTCAATATGGAATACCAAGACGACGTGCACGAAAAGTCAGGTCATCGGATTCGCCTTTTATTGATTTTACCAGTATAAACGGCAGTAATAGTGCAAGTGTTATCGAGAACGAAGGAGCAACTGATGAATTAGATGCGAATGCGAATGAATCAAAATTGCCTGATTACTTTTATAGGCAGGATGGGTGGAACAATAGGTAAGCATTGTTTGCTTAAAAATGCAAACTGAGATTGGAGAGACATTGAAAGGATTCAAGGAAAAAGCTGGGGTTTTTAGATTAGGGCACGTGAGTGTTGTGATTACAGTCTTTTTTTACCCATGTTAACGTAAAAAGATTTGTTCGGTCTCGCTTGGTGTTTGTTGTTTGTTTTTAATTTAATTCATCTGGCTATTTTGATTATTATATTTCCAGTGCTATCCGTATTGTTCTTTTGACTGTTGCTCTTATTACTACATCAAATGCTGTCCGCCTTGTCGTTCCTTTTATTTCCTTCTTTCCCTCTCCACAAACTCCCTCCGTACCAACCTACCCTTTGCAGGCCGCCTCCTCCACCAACACCGCCTCGGCCGGCTAGCAGAGCCTCTCGCTCTCCCTTAAGGTGATTTATCAATTACTGGAGATGTATTTTTACGCGTCTGCGAGTTTGTTAGAAATCTAACCTTGGTACTTTTTCTGCAGAAAGAAGAGAAGGTTAGACACCCCGGAAGTTTTTAGGAGATATGAATGTGAGAGCGATCAAATGAATGAGGTCGAAAGCGTAGACGTAATTGGAAATTCAATCAGGAATGCAATGGACAACGAACAAGAGACTATAAGTCACAACGTGGAGAACCATGTGGAGGAAGTAATTAATGAAGGACGCGAAGATGACGTGACCGAAGACCAGAGAAATGACCGTTCCGAAAGGTATATCTGGAGACTAGGTTTACTTTTTTTTTTTTTTAAAAAAAATTTTCTTTCGCCATATTCACTCTTGCGACTAATGCTTCAAATTCCTACAGAGGAACGACTCCTCCACAGCCAGAATCATTCCATCCGGCACCTTACCCAAATACCCCCACCCCTTCTCGTTTTCATACACCTCCAACACCAACACCACAACCTTCCACAATTAGCGCCAATCAGCTAAAACAGCGTGCAACCGTTTTGTTGATGGCTTTAAACCCATCGCGAACGTCCATATTTGAGGCAGCTGAAATACTTCGGCCAGGGTTTGGTGGGTTTGAGATTGAGGAATATGGAGGATGAGAAATTCAAGTGTTACAGATAGCAGTACGGATAATTGCGTCGAACAGAAGCATAAAAGTTGTGGTTTAGAGGATACTCCATTAGACGTGGTACTCAATGAAGGTTCAATAGAACGAGATATGAACATATTATGCATGCAAGTCAGTAGAAGAGCATTACATGAACAGTACAAGAATAGAGTAAGGCATGGATTTGGTTATAATAATTCTCCTTACTGGTTTTTACGATCGGGGAGAAAGGGGTGGGAAATGTATTTAATGGAAAATCAATAGGCTGTTGCTGAATAACGTCAGCCAATAGATCATTACCCTGTACCGATCATGGGCTTGATCAAAACCTTGAACACGAATATTCGACTTTGTATGAGCACTTTGGGCTATTTACGTAGTTTCGATTTTATTGTTAATCAATTCAATATCTACAATTGTTGGTTATTGGAAACACATACATGCAAACACACACACACACACACACATATATATATATATAAGGGCTCGAATAAAAACAGATGCCATTTCTGTAAAATGTCCTTTGTTCAATGAATCAGAGCTATCCTAATATCTAAATAATTATATGCAATATTCTCCGCGTGTGTATGCAATAATATCTTTAAAAGATCAATCTATATATATGGACAAGGTTAAATTATGACAGATCGAATCCAACACCCGCATCGATTGCATATTCCAATTTCCTATAAAAATAATAGAGAATAATTAAATACAATACATTCAAACCAAACCAACTCGAGCATGACCAAACTCGTCACCCTCAACTTACGCTCTCAACGTCTTTTCATCAGGATATGCGGGCAACTTTAACAAGTTAAAACAAGTGCTGCTCGTAGGCAACCTTAATTCCTTCCCGGCATTTCGAATAGCAAACTTTGGAACAAGCTCTCCAAACCCGAGTAAAGGTGGTCGAGAACATGATGTCACAAATTTAATTAATTTACGTTTTTGTTCTTCACTGAAGCAAGAGACAACATTCCAGAAGTTTTGGATTACAGTGTCGTCATCGCTATAGCCAGAGTAGACGGTATTCTGACGAAGATCGTCAAGGTTGATATCGATCTGTGCTCCACCAACGAGAACCTGGAGTTCTTGCTATTGTGCAAAGTTTTGAAAATTAAAAAGAGTGGATGAATAAGAAAGAAGCGCATTTAGGTACATTCGTATATTTTTCTTGGTAAAGACAAAACTCACCTGATTAAACATTTGTAGCCATTTTGGCTCAATCAAGTCAGAAAGCCCTTTAAAGAATGCCTTGCATTGCTTGTTGATTTGTGTGTTTAATCTGTAATTGGCAACTCGAAAGACGTATTGATATTTTGTTTCATTAGTCACCGGAGTGTTCGCGCCGTTCGGTATAAGTTCAACTATACGAGACACTCCAAGCTCTAGAAAAGGTTGATATGGATGCGAATATGGGTTATAAATAACGTAATATAAAAGTCCATATCAATTAATGTATAGAAATATTAAGTCTTGATCTTACCATGGTCGACAACTGTAAAGTTCACTCCGAAATCACTCTCGACGTTTCCTTCATAATTTTTGAGTATTATTAATCCTTTATATAATTCTGGATCCAGCGATGGTAAGTCGTCCACTGGAATAAGCAGAAAGACGGCAGGTATGAGTTCAGAATACAAGAGTAGCTCGCGCCAAGTTTACGCAAATTTTGTACTTACAATATGATGATCTACTAAGCCATTTACTCAAGAAGAACCCAGCAAATGCAAAATCAACCAATACTCCTTCATATAAAGCTTTACCCAATATACGACCGAGGAACTCATAATAGTTCAGTTGTTGTTCTATAAAAAAAAAACCCGAAGAAGAAAAAAAAGATAAGTCTCAACGCTAAATTGACAAATCATGTGACATAGAACACCTTTGCATGTTTTTACCTTCTTGAGCATATCTCAACGTATTAGGATACAGCAATTGATCTTTAGTTGTAACAAATAAGCCACGGTTTGCATCGAATGCTTCTTTACACAACCTGAAATCAAAATACATCAGCAGCTTATTCCCAAGAAATTTCTTGCAACCTTGCAATTCAACTTACAAAGTCAAAAATTCTTTCAACAATCCCCCGCCATCAACCCCAGCCTCCGTAAGGTTGTGCTGATCAATGAAAGAGATTGCTATGCGATCTTTTAGTTCTTCTTTCAATCCACTAAGATACGTATAGGCGTCTTCGAATATGTGAGTCCGGCGGATATCGACGCGTATTCGGTAGTGATTATATGGTCTAAAAAATGAACAATAATTAGTATAATCCCCCTGGAAGAGTTGACTGGATTTTAAAAAACCACCAAAGCTCCAGGAATCGACTAACATAAAATCTTAAATAGATATCATAGAGGTTCTAACAATAGTACTAACCGCTTTGGATCATTTTGTACAAATTTCCTAAATAGCTTGACTCGGTCTTCGAATGGAATAACAAACGGAATGCTATTCAATATCTTTATTCGATGACTGATAGGAGCGATTCGACGTGGACCACTTTTGGGAGGTAAATCTTCGGCACCTTGTTCATAAGACGCTGCTTCGTTGATGAAAGATGCCATATCCATCTGCGAAGCCATTAACCAGTGACCTGTTTCTGTGAATTGGCGACGAGAGCTGTGTGTAAAAGAGAGAATTAAACAATAAAAAGTAGACAGTAAGTAAAAAGAAGGGGCAGTCAAACAATCGCGAGATAAAAACACGGATGTAACGTTCAATATTGATTTAGCGCCAAACACTCACTCTCTCGCATGTATTTGCTGGAGCACCTTTGTCAATATATCCCTTAAATACGTAAGTTGTATACATGTGCCTTCGAGCACATATTCCATTTTGAAGTGTGAATTCCAATATAGTGCAAACGTGACATTCTAAAGTGGCGAAATAATCATTACGCTTAATGCTTCGAATAATTTCTGCACCCTAAATTTTCACAAACGTACCCTCAAGCAAGCAGACATCTTGATAACTTCACCAAGATTCAAAGGATTCTTCCCATCTTCAAAGAACTCGTCATCTCCAGTGGTCAGTAATACGCGACTAAATAGCTCACATAGCAGGGCCAGCATTTCCCATTGTTGGGCATGCGCAGGGTCTACGAAAGATTGTAATAAAACAAATGGTTGAGGATAACTAATAGACCGACCCGGATAATAAATGAACCATGACACTGTTCTAAAATATCTTCCTTTACATTCTTTCCTCCCATCATAGCTAGCTCACCTGTAATAACTGCCGTGGGAAACATTCTCTCATTAATTTTCTCGTATAATTCCATTGCTGTGAACCCTTCCCAAATCATCTTGACGTAGGTATCTTTCTTGTCTGGACTAAATCTCTTCATCATGCTAGTCAACAGCTGCTGCTTCTTCAATGGCCATCGACTCATGAGAGCCATGAGTAAATTACAGACACGGAGTAGTGACGTTGAACCAGAAGACGAAGTAGCGAAGGCGAAGATAGATGCAAGTTGAGGACCTTTGAAAAAACGTTCGATCCACCAAAGCAGACGAGTATCTATAGGGTGATGTGGTGTGTCGGAAGATGAGAGTCCTTCGTTTTCGTCCTCGTCGTCGTCGTCGTCGTAACTCGAGGATGCTGTGTTGAAGAAGGAGGAGGAAAAGTGGTGAGAAAGTATTCAAAGATAATTTAGTAAAAATATCTTGATGAGCGTACTTACTGTTTGCCTTTTTATTAGAGAGTGCATTTGTTGGAATTAATGTAAATAAATTCTTCAGAACTTCCAAGTATGCAAGCTATAAAAATTATACATTAGCCATAAGGGAGATAGTAAAACAAAACGCTGCTCTTTCACTCTCTCCCTGTGACATTTACCATAACGTCATCCAACGTAATACCCTTATTAATAGCAAATTTACTCAAAGATGCCATCTTCTCTGGACGAGTAAAAGCCAGTATATTGCTCAATAAACCAGCAGCCTCTTCTGTGCTCAAAATCAACTCTGTGCCTGTTCCCGCTCTCAGTCCCTCTTCGGTTTTAAAACTCATTGTTGACAGCTCTGTCATAACAACATCGATTGGAATGTGCGCCGTGAATGCTGATAGTTCTTGTTTTATGCGATACATCAGAAAGGGCATTTTTAAAATTTCTGTGATAAAGGCGTGGATAGAGGGAATTAAGACAGGGGAGTCGGCAGAGAGATTACGGAAGGGAAGGGTTGAGAGGTGGCTTAAGGAAGGTATTGTCGGTGAGGGTACGTCAACTGGCTGTAAAACATGGATGATATGAGAAGGGAAAGTAAGGAAGCATAAGAAACAAAGAAGTAGAGTTGTCTGTGAATAAGTGCTTCTCAACATACCAATCCAAGGAGATGATTACTCAATTCTCGATACAGGCCTTGCTGTATTAAATGCTCAAGAAGACAGTTAACGATCTTTCTGTGTCAAAGAATATAAACCACGATTAAACTTAAATCATCGGAACAACGCTGCTATAAACCAAACTTTCAGACAACACTAACTTTCTGCAAAATTCATCCCTAATTTGCAAGTAGTTTGACTCATCTGTGGCTGATCGTATGAGATTCACGTAATCAAGAAGAGTCACACGGAAATTTGGGTGTCTTGAAAATAAGAGACAAAATGTAAATTAGTATTATTGATCTTGCGGCGTTTATCAAGAATGGTGTATAACTATTTGATAACCATGCTAGCCAATGAATCTGCCGTCTTTTGCGCACAATCTCAATTAGCACATTGAAAGAACTCAAACCTCCCCTAATTACCACTCTAACCTTCGCTACCCAATAATAACTCTTTACTTTTTCACCATTGAAACCCATTGAAAGCCATTGAAAGCCATTGAAAACCGTATCTCAAGTTATGAAAAGACAGTTCTAATGGCACAATAATTTTAAACAGACTTACAAATTATGAGACCCAAAACGTCTGAGAAACAAAACTAAAAGACACTTTGTTTGATAAGTCCAAACGTCGCGTATGTCATCGTATAAAAAGGGATGGATAAAGAGTATCGTGTCTTTCGTTGAGGAAATTTTAAATTAAAAAGTGAGTATTGACAATGACTTTGTATTCTATGGTAAAACATGAACAAATTTGAAACTACATTCGGAAGCCAAGCTCCCCTCATTCACTTCTTTCAATTCTCTTGTCCCTTGCTATTATCCTATACAGCTACCCCACCTTGTCGTTTCAAAGTCAATAAATAACACAAAAGAGTCTCTCTCTCAACGTCCTGAAATGGTCGGTAAAAGAACAAGAATTTTCTGACCAGAAGAACCAAGTTCAGAGCCGCCACGGGAGGCGAGGAGTTTGAATTCAAGTAATTCTTGGCCTCAATATCCCATTCTAAGCGTATAGATGCGCGTGACTTTTTGGCGATTGTTCTGCCTCGAACAAATGCCTTTTTGTAACGAAAGAAGGTAAAGTAAGTGAAAGGAAGAGAATAATTCTGACATTCGGTTTCCGGTTCTCAGCCTCCGCTTTTTCGTTCTTTCCTACTTACTTGTATCTTTGTGGCGGACTCTTTTCTTTTCTTCTCATATTGTCTTGCAAGCCTTCTTTCCTGATTACTTCGTAATAAAGCCGGTTTGTCCTTTAAATTCCTCGAGCCGCCGAGATTGATCTGAGGACGTTTTTTGGCGTTTCCGTCGAAGAACATTATGTAAGATTATATAATGGTTACTGTAGAGGAGATAATAATATAAAGGGTGAACGGTTTTAATCTATAATAATAAGTGTCTGCATTCTCGTCTTGGAGTATATATATATATATATATCAAGATACGTAATTCAATTATCAAGGGCTTCAGTATTCGTCATTATTTACACAAACGAGATTTAGATACAAGTCTAACCTAATATAGGTCATTGTGTTTGGTGAAAAAAAGTGTCAAAGGTTGCGCTAAACAATTTAGAATTTGAGATTGACCGATGTGAAAACGTCTCGGACTGGATTATTATGTCAATTTTCTGCTCTTTATGAAGAGCGAAGACTAACGCTAAACGATAAAGACCATATATATTATCCAGGACTTGCGGAATATGGCAAGTAAATTGCTTCCAGTTTAGACTTGATCTCTGAAAGGGATAAGGCTTTTATAACATACATTTGGTTCATCTGTGCTAGTCTTTTTGGAATGTTTTTGAGCTTTAATAATATCATAGCTCATGAGGTTTATGACAATCCAGTAACTATAACAGTGCATACTCTCTGTATTATTACTAATTCCTGGGACATTTTGACGTAAATATCAATTTTGGTAATACAAATAATACAACAACTTTCCATTTCATTTTCAGTTTTGCCGTCGCGCAGTGTTATGGAGCCTCGATGAGACTAATGTACATATAATTTTACATATTTAATGTTCGAATGCCAAAGTCTGTGTGTTAAGCAAAAGTGACGAAGCTCTTTTACTCTAGAAGGGCTATCTAAAGGGAATGAGGAGAGGTTGTCAGTTTGCTAGTAATAGTAAATCGATTCAAACAGTCTGTCTCACACTTGGGAACTAAAACTCCAACGTGAGGTAAGCATCACATGGATTTTACAATATCATTGAAGATATTCTGAGACATTATTTATAATTACACTATGTTACTGCACTATCAGAGAAGACTGTTATTTGGACAGACTTGTGTGTTTCAATTAGAATTGTTTATGGATGTGCAAGCAAATTGTATAAACCATTTAATTTATAGCTTGCATGCTTGTTAATGTTGCAAAACTTTTGTAACACACTGTATTTCAGAACATTAAATATTTACAATAAGGAATCCATCACTATTACTATGAACACACTGAACACTATGAACATGCATGGACACTTAATCTAGCTTGCAGCAGATTCGTGTATGTGCTGCACTTTCTGCAATATTCTACACCCACTGGACAAAAGCATTGGCAATAAAGCCATCAACAAAATGGTCGCACGCTGTTTTAGCTGATTGACACTAATTGTGGAAGGTTGTGGTGTGGGTGTTGGAGGTGTATGAAACGGGAAGGGGTGGGATTATTTCCTTTATGTTATAAAAATTCTTCATAAAACGAAGTAAATTCACCGGTCACATAATATGGTTTCAGATATAAGTCTAGTACACCAAAGAATGTATCACAAGCTAGCCTGTTCATTCCTAATCGATATAAAAAGTCTCTCCGCGAAGAAATGTCTTAACTCCTAAATCGCAAATTTTTATTGCGGTGTCGGCATGTTCAGTCACTTTACCATAACCTGTCTAATAAGAATTACTTTTAACACGGCTTTGCGCATCACCAGATACTATATAAATATACGGTAAATAAAGGTCATTATAGATATGCTCGTTTGAACAGTATTAGTACACGATTTATTCTGAAATGTCGGATAATAGTCTTGTTACAATTATTATATTCTATTGGCAAATACAATATGTCTTTGCTTATTATCATTATATTTTTGTGATGAATTGTTTTTTACATTATATAATTATGACCGTGTTAAAAGTATATAGAAAATCGTTTGTTTTTTTTTTTTTTCAAATTGCCATTACTTTATATTATATTATATTATATTAGATGACTGTAAATAAAATTTATATCATTTTGACTGTGCAATTTTTAGGATATTACCATCGACACTTGGAGTGCCACTTCGTATTTATACTTTTTTGACAGAAGTTGTCAACAGTAAATTCTCTTTATACGTACTAACTTGTTAGACTCCTATAATAGAAAGAAAATGCCACAAAGTTTAGAGTTCACCGATTTTGAGCGAGGAATGATTATAGGTTTGAGATAGCTGTTATTCTCAAATGTTCCAAGGGGCTGTTCAGGGTGGTATTGAACAATATAGAGAGGATGGACACGCCACGGTGCTGCCTCGCTCCGGTAGACCACAAAAACTTAGTGATAAAGACGAGCGACTATTGATAAGAGTAAAGAAGAAGATAGAAGCGTAACACTCGACCAGTTAACGGAAAATTTTAATAAAAATCTTCTATAAAGAACAGTACAGCGTACTCTACATTATTATGGCTTTTACAGTAGAGTCACAAAAGGAAACCATTAGTTAGCGAAAAGAATAAAAAGATCAGGTATTACGGTGGTGCAAGAACGTAAAAGATTGGAAGGGGGAATGACAAGGTAATTTTCAGTGATGAGTCAAGGTATCTATTATTTAAAATCGATGCGCATAAGCTTGTCTGGAGACTACCTGATGAAAAATATTGGAAGACTGTTTGGCACACCGACCGAAAAACACTCTGGAGGGGTTATATTTCTGTAAGGATAGACTAGAGGACCAGTTGAAGGAAATATCAATGCCACCATGTATAGACAAATCTTGGGAGAATATCTGTTGCCTTATCTACAAGAACTTGGCAATGAAAGTATATTTTTCAAGATGACAATGCCCCTTATTAATTCACTTGAGTGGCCCTCTCGTCCTGACCTTAATCCAATAGAGCATCTGTGGGATGAATTAGAAAGAAGGATTAGGCGAAATAAGTTTAGACCGGAAAAATAAGGCAAGAATTGTTTGCTGCAGTGAAAAGAGAGAGGGATCAAATTACAAGCGATGTAATCAATAAATTAGTCGACAGTGTGCCCCGAAGGAGTTAAAGCTGTATTGAAATCAAAGGGAGATGCTACTCCATATTAACTATGCTAAAAAGAGCGTGTTGAATGATTTAACTTACGCTAATGTTTATTATGTGCGTGGTTTGAGAAAATTAGCATAATAGATAATAATAATCGCACATCACATCTCAGATGATATTTCACAAAGTCACCTGAATATTTGGCCACATACAGCAAACTCATCAACAGAGAGCCAAGTTATCATTTCGAAATGACTAACTTAATTGATATAGTTGACCTGTCTTCAGGTCTTTCATCGGATTATGAAAAGCTTTATGAAAGCAGCAAATATACAGATGTTTCGATCAATGTTGGAAAAGAGCCAAACAATAAAATCTTTCTTGCTCATGCAGTAGTATTGTGCACGAGAAGCACATATTTTGAGAAGATGGTGGTTGAAAATACAGAAGAGTTTCAACGGACAGTTATGACTTTTGAAGATGTAACATCCGAAGTCTTTGAAATTTTACTTAGGTAAATGTTTATTAAGACGCTAAGTAATACAGTCCTTTCGAATGGTTCCTTACTCAACCGATTTACCATAAATTTACTATGTTTATAGATTTATTTACACAGGAAAAGTGACTTATGATTCAAGTGAGTTCATCAACTGGATTAGTCTTTTGGATGCCATTTGCAGATTCGAATTAGATAGCCTTTTTACCACAATTGGAGACTATTTGGTTAGTCACCAAAAGGAATGGATACAACACAACTTTTTTACAATCCGTGAATATGCCTCGTCCTCAAGTTCATTGAATAAGCTTTTGAATTACTGCAATGACATTATGATATCATCTCCAGAGATTCTCCTTAAATCTGATAATTTGGCAAGTCTACCAAAAGAGAATATGATTGCTCTACTCAAACATGATGAACTTAACATGGAAGAAATTGATATTTGGACATCAGTAATACAATGGGGTATTACTCAAGTTCCAGGTCTTGAAAATGAACCTCACAGCTGGTTGTCTGAAGATTTTACTAAAGTCAGAGCAATTATATCTGACTGCATTCATCATATAAGGTTTTTCAATATTTCATCTGAAGATTTTCAGGAGAAAATTGTTCCATATGATGAGTTATTAACAAAAAATTTGCGGCATGATATAGTTTTTTATCATATCAATAAAAATTATGAACCAAAATCAATAGTTTTACCCCCAAGGAAAGGTCAAGCAATTTATGATAATAAGACTAATGAAGAGGACAAAATTCTTAATGTTAATGCTGATATTGACTCAGTTATCATTAATGAACAACAAGCAGCATGGATTGCACAAAAGATAATGGAAACAATGAAGAGAAATCAAGAAAGTCAAAGAGTCTCTAGGAATGGGAAGAGCAGTTGTTGCTATAAGTTTACCCTACTTTATAGGCACAGTAGGGATGGTAATGCACCCAAAAATTTTCGACAAATGTGTGCTGAGAAAGGCCCCACAGTAACTGTTGGAAAAGTATGGAATACAGAAGAAATGCTTGGTGGATACAATCCCATTTCTTGGAGCACTTTCAATTCACTCCCACCTTTTGATACTAATACTAATACTAAGTTAAATCTTCATATTAATTTGTATCAACTGGTTCATATTCAAACTTCAGAAAGCTTTATATTTTCATTAAATAAGGATAATTTGGATGAAAGCATAGCGAGTTTTATTGTTGATAGTAAGTATGCCATTGGTGAACAGAAATTTTCCTATCCTTGTTTTGGGGACAGTGATTTAGTTTTTGGAGCTACTGGTATTATTTTTTGTAAACCTTGTTCTACAAAAAGGTTCTATGAAATTGCAATAAGGTCTACCTCAGATAATTTTGGATGGGTGGACTGGGAAGTATTTTCAGTTACGAAAATGAATTAATTTGTTTAGTTAGTTACGATGATTTGCAACTATTGTATTGCCTGTATTGAGAATTATTATGCACATCAATAAAGGTACAGTAACCATATTTTTTAAGGTAAAACAGACTAAATATGAACAATGGGTTTCCGATAAACATTTTATAAAAATTTTATTGTTGTATTAGTTGATTTAGCCTCACTCTAGTGGAAAAACGACGATCTCATCCATTATTACGAATGTCGACGTTGCAATCAATTTGAAAATTTAATATGTAAATTTTAAGCGATGAAAAAATTGATGCACATACAAAATTTAAAAAATACACATACCTCTCTTTATATGGTAGCATTTGGGAATATTACGTTCTTACCATCTGGGTTTATTAAGCATATGACCATGACCGATTTTAGTTAAATTGCACATAAGCCATTCCGTAGATATTTGAAATCCGCATACGATAAACGCTAACGTCCTCCATACTAATACGCATCTATTCCTTCTTCATACAATACTTATTTTTATCCGCAATGCTGCGGACAATGTTAGACGTCCGCAGTTCTCCACATCAATTACTTGCATTGTACGCTATACCTTACCTGATAAAAACGCGCTAATACTAAATAATTTAGTAACTTAGCAATGGTGCACGTTTGTGTGCACGATTTTTTCCTCATCAGACTTAACTCTCATCGTACCTGTCCGTGGCGCAAAATTGTACTTAACCTCAAATATGTCTATTCCCAGGAGAATTTTGCAATGTTACGACTTTATATTTACTTTAATTCAATAGTGTAAGAATTTACTTTCTTACATTCGTATACTATCACAAATCACTTACGATGTCGTTATTACGTAAATATTTTTCCTATTGCTAATAGTTATAGCGCCATACCTTTTCGTCGGAAAATTTCCTCGACTAATTCCATTTCAATGTCATTAATAAATTCTCTATCTTTTTTACCCTCATCTTTGTGATTTGTAAAATTATTTTCATATTGCATATTATTATTATTAAGAGTCTTCCTGATTTGCTGTACGCTAATGTTCTGCAAATTTTTATAAAATGATGCAGGGGCGTGCAACTTGGGTGGACATATTTGATGGAGATAAGTACGATTTTGCGCACAGACAGGTCGTCCAACGAGAGTTAAGGCTGATGAAAAAAAAAATTATGTAGGTGCCCGCAAACGTGCGTCATTACTAAATACACGTAAATTAGCCTGCCACTTTAATTTTCAATTTTTTTCTAACAATGACAAATAAACCACCATCTAGCCGGAAATAAATTTTCACTATCGATTCGATCTATTCTTTGAAACAACTTAAATTGTTTCTATTGTCGTTATAATGGCAAATAAAATATACGCCATCTCACCGCAGAACATTCGCTTATTATTCGTAAATAATATCCATTCTGCCAATTAATTTTATTTTGCTTTCAAAACAATTGTTTTCATTTTCTTTGTACGTTATACTTTGAAAATTACGCCATTAACCACAAACACCTTTTACTTATTTGTTTGCCAACATTTACCCAATGTTTTACAACAATAAAATAATACACATGCACTGTACTATTGGATTACTTATCCGATATTGTCATATTGCAAGGCGTGGTTTATTAATTACTAAAACAATTGTTGTATGTCAGATTAGAGTTGGATAATCTATGAACGCAGCATATTTTATTAGCCATAATGTATCGAAATACTTAATTCCATCGTTCCTCACATATCGAAAGCTAATCATTTGTTTCAGCAAAAAAGAAATGAGTTTATTACAATCCGAACTTTTTGTTCGCTATTATTTTCTTTTAATATTGGAAATAATAAATAATACAGCTTGCTGATCGGAGAGTTATTTGATCTTTTTTTCTGGCAACCCCTCTGACAAATATGGAGTATAATCATCAGAGAATCAATTTACGATAACGATATTATGACAAGTTTATTAGATTCCTTAAAAGAAGACATCCTAGAGGCAATGACCACTGAATAATGTTAATATTACATTATTAGGTACATGTTTCTTTATGTGCTATTGCGATTTACTTCATGCAGTTAAATACTGAAACATAGGCTGGCATTTTCATAAACGGCTTATGAATTATTACAGCAGATAGAGCTCTTATACAAAATTATATCGTATAAGGTGTAAGAAATATGGTTATACCATATAATTTCGTTGCTAAATTGCATCGATGTTCTTTACACTATTTTCCCCGCATACATTTTTATTATGACAATCTAATTCATATGATAACTTGCTTGATGTTTTATCATCGTTAGTGTAAAGGCAAATGTCTTTCAACCATCGAAATATGTATTATGTCTGAATTTGACATTTAAAACTAATGTCTAGTATCGAAGCATTCGTGGAGAATTTTAAAATAAATGGGGTCAAATGTCATAAGTTTTTAGCCCGCCTGTCATTGTGGACAAATATCATCTACAATTTAATCAAATCAAAATAGTCTATATTTACAGCTTAACCGTACTGCTAAAAGATTCTATCTAATAATTCAATGCAAATCATTGTACGATTAGGCTATATTGACAGTCTAACCGTAATGCTAAAAAGTATCAAATGCAAACATCAAATACAAACACCAAAATACATTCTAACCATTATACTAAAACTTGTACCAATAATTTTAATGTAAAATTATCATACGATTAGATTCATACACATTGACAAAAAGCGACTACATTTACCATCTAACCAAAAGCTGCTAGAATTACTGTCGATATCCAATGATTTCAAATAATAATCGTATACACAAAATCGCGTGCGATAATCATTAGTGAACGGAAATGAATTTCGGCTAGATATTGGTGCATGGAATCAGAGGCCAACATATAAAGGAGATTTCCTGTCATCTACCAGTGCCCATCTCCACTTTTGTGGAGGTAATGCATAACTTATCACTTCTAGGAATGTGTCATTGGACTGACTTAATTAGTATTATTACAGGGGACGTAGGACGATTACAGTAATCGCAACAAAATTATGTGCTGCCCCATTGTCCCAACACCGAGTTCGTTATCTCACACACATGCTCTTCTGCAAACCCAAACCCTGAGTCGCCTCGGTTGCGGTTGGGACCCCTTTTACTAGCTCGCCCTCGAGGCGTACCATATGTTGGTTATTGGGCTCACTGAGCTGCCATCGGCGCTGTTAAATGGCACAATATACAGTGGTGTGCAAAAAAAAATGACAATTGTTTAAATCTCTCTGGTTTTAACATGAGCAATCTAATTAAAGTGTATGATATATCATTTTA